TTTGGAAAAAAACTATAAAAGGAATTAAGTTTACGTATTTATCCTACATTGAACTTTTGATGTTGTCTCTAAAGCAGTAAAAACATCAGACTTTCAAACAGTCAGAAAGAACAGCAGCTCGGATACTTAAAGTACTGCAAATGATAATACGTGCAGGCAAGTAAGAAAAGTAGCTGAAAAACATAAAATTGAGGAATGTCAAAAAAAAGCTACAATTATTTTCGGAATTGTTTGAACAGTTGTATTTTCTCAGCTAACCATGTCTTTCTCAAGGCTACTAAAATAGAACTTTTAAAACGTGAGTGAGATGTGTTTATGAGCACTAGGGACTACGCACACTGACTTTAGTCTAAGAATTCTAAAACAGGATTCAACTTTTACACTTACCAGTTTAGGAATTGACAGTGCAGTAAAAGAACTAACACTAAATGTGTAAAATATTGTGAATATTTTAAAGCCGAATGAATTTGATATGAAAAGAAATTGTATTTTTTATTATCATCATAGACTGTACTAATCAGTAATATCCATTTATTATAACATGTCTAAATGCAATTACTCTGTGGTACAATAATGGCAATTATTCCATACCAGACTATGCACATATTTGAACATTTTTTATTCTATTTTTGAACAAATGTTTATTTTGAGTTTTACATTACTATGGTAATACATCTTTTTGGCAAGAGGAAATACAATTGTGTAGATTGAATAATATTTTTGTGTGGGGCAACATTTTGTGTTTGACTGAGTGTCTCCGTCTTTTCTGACTTTATTTATTGCAAGTTCTAACTGCAAACACATGTAGTACAGAAATCATATTAATGTGTTTGTGACCACATCATGACATGTGCAGCAATCAAATGGAAGTTTAATGTGCTATTTTTGTGACAACAAGGCCTGTTTGAAAACAAGTGCCCAAAGAACTTATACAAGTGGATTTGGCGTTCCCATTGAGGTTGGTCCTACTCACCCTGGGTTGGTAGAGAGTTGGCTTTTTGCTGTTTCATCCAGAGGTCATATTTGAACTTTGACCCCCATGAGCACGAGCATGATGCAACAACCACTACACTATAGATTCACAGATTTCATTATTTCACTGACAACATTAGTTGAATTTTGGGAGATGAAGAATGCTTCCAATAAAACTAAATACATCATATCAAATTTGAAAAAAGAGAACAATGTATAATGACAATGGTCAATAAAGACATTGCAATGAATATTGCATTGGCCGGATTTATAAAAATACATATACTTAGATCATATGACAACAAGACCTATTGGAATGTGTTTCCATCAACTGCCAGTGAATCTTGTAATTTGTGTCCACTTTTATCTTTCAATGCTTATCATTTTTTATTGTCTTGTAGTTTCTAGTGACCTTACTAATGTAATTTCTAAAGTCAGTGTTGTGTCAATAAATAGAAACTCAAAGACAATCACACCCTATGGTCATTTCAGTAAGCAGACACAAGTGATTATTGCTAAGAGTTCTGTATTCATCCAAGCTGTAGGTGAGACAGGTGGTGTATTACAAGGTGAACTAGTGCTGGATTAATACTTAATACCAATGTATTATTATTTTCACCTTATAAGCTTATCTAGTTGCTGGGAATGCAAGCCTGTTCAAGTTAATTGCTTCAATTTGGAAGGATTTTAATTTTTTTTAATGATTTTTGTTTTTAAGCCACTGAAAATGTACACATGCATTTGCCAGCATGAACAAATTTACTATAATCAGATAATCAGATTATAAATAATCGCAGGTCAGGAAAACCTTCAGACATTGAAAATAATTATTGATATTAAATTTTCTTTTTAAATGTGGGTTTATTTTTTTATAAAAAAAATTAACAAAATATTTGTATGTATATTGGTATAGTTGCAAATTGAAAAAGATCTATTTTTGTTTCGAACACGTTGGTAATCTCCACAAACGGGGAATGTGTGACTAACCAATGGTCTGCAGTTACTACACATGTATGCTTGGTATTGTATCAAATTATATTTTGGTGGTACAATAGATTTGCAATATATTGCATTACAATTTATGCTGTTCATAATTTATCAACCATTATGAACTCTATAGTCAACATTTTTCACCTTTCACAAAATAAACCTAGGTCACCTTTTTCTCAATTTTGAGTAAGAAGTGAGGCAATGAAAAATTATGCCCAATTGGTCCAAGTTAATAAAAAGTTTAAATGCATAACAATTGTTCACACCAATATTTCTGCAGGCTTCCAATAGTCAAAAATAAGAATCTCTAAGGCTAAGAGTTTATAAAATTTAAGTCCCATGGGAAAGAAAATCTTAAGCAAACCATTTTCCATCTGCTGATTAATAAATATTAAAATACAAACAAGAAGACTGTGTTAAGAAATGACATGTACATGTATGCAGGAACAAACATATTGACACATCCAAATAATAAACTCACTGTCTTGAATTAAAAACCATCTTAAAATTAAAATGTACATGAACTTTTTGAAACTTGCAAACAATTCATAAACAGTCAATTGTATGCTGTCATCATGCCAAATTTATGTGTTTAAAACATCAAACACCATAAACACCAGTAGCAAAAGCTAAAGGTCGTGACCCCAGCGCAGTGATATAAATTATCGCCTGGTTTATTGATAAGACACAGGATGTTATTGTTATAAAACAAACAAACATTAATCTCAAACTTTGTCAGTGTTTTTACAGGAGTGGTCTCTTGTCAATAGATCAGGCCACTGTTAGTTACTTTAAGTTTTATAATTTTGGCATATTAAAATAAACCTAATAATATTATATTTTTCTGAAATTACTCAAATTTGAATCAATCTACAAAATCAAATGTGCTATGTTGCATCCTGAATTACCATCAATTGAATTGGAAACAATCATTTAAAAATGTGTTCTTTCACAAAACTATTATTTTAAATTGTAACACTCACTAAATAAATCATATTTGTAACTTTTTATTTTGTTGATTTTTGATCAGTTAAAAGTAAAATATTAGGGAGGAAAAGGTTTTTTGCTGGATTTTATTTTCACTGTTTCATTCCTCCAGTAAGTCACATCCAAGGAGTTTAATACAGTAACTATATTATTTCTCTACCTCACCTAGTGGAGGCGCTATACACTATTACCACATATGCCTCTTCCCTGTAAATAAAAGTTTAGAGTACTTAAAAAGTTTCCTTTATAAGTTAATTTCCGGCTAAGACAAAAAGTGTTTTTGTTCATTTTGTTCCAAAATAGAGGGATAAACCAAAGTGGAAATTTTGGCAGAAACTCCTGGATGAATTGCTGTGGTTATATCACTGGTAATGATGTTACCAATCGGTTGGCCATTATTCCAATGCTATCACCTCATTTCATTGAGGTGATAGGGCATCATGATCTAACATTAATTTGGCATGTTTGTATTACAGTCATTAATTTCTTTGAGTTTCAATATGACAGCCATAGCTTATTAGGGCTCTCTCTGTTGGTAAAAGATAACCAGCCTAATACTGTAGAACGGGAAATTTTCGCGTGAAAGCAAATTTTGTCTAATTCGTGCATTTTATTATTCGTGTTCTCCTTGCAGACGAATTACTAGTATTCAACTTTGACCTTTCATTAATACGTGTTTGTCAATAAATTTAAAACAAATTTTAACAAATAAGAACAAAGAACATTTATTATTCAATGTCTGTTACTAATTCACACATTAAAAACAAGTGTTACACTAGCCAAGACATGTCCGAAGCTGGGGTTACCCGAAGAACAAAAAGCCCTGGCAATATTTGATGTATTCAGAGCACATCGATGTGAAGATTTTTTTTAAAAACTACACGACAACAACACTGTGTTAGTTCTGGCCTGTTGTAACGACCGACTGCAACCCCTAGATCTTGCCGTCAACAAACCCTTCAAGGACTCACTGAAATCTATTTTTCAGTCTGGGTACACTGACCATATTTTGAAGATTTCAGACAAGTACTTTTAAAGTTTTTAACTACTACCGGTATTTGTGTTAAAAAATATACATTTAAATAAATTTTTTCAACAATGAAATAAAAACATAAATTAATACTACCATCCCAGTACTTTGTTTTTCACTGCTTGAATGAAGTGAATGCGAGTGGCTTGTTGTGTACATGGGCAGTAATACAAAACTACAGCGCTCCCAGTGGCGAAATTAAAACAAATAACCTCTGCGCGAATGATTTCCTGTTGTGCAGTAACACATGTAGAATTATATCATTTGGCCAATAGGACTATATCTTTCCCATTGGGACGAGTATCCTTCCCCATCTTGTTATTGATTGGTTAATTTTAATTGGACAGATGTCGTATAGTGCATTGGTAACGTGAGATATCACTTAATCATAGTGTTAATTAATAGTGACACTCTAAGCTAAATTGCCTTCCATTTCATGACACATTATTCATCACTGTAAAAAACTTTCCCATTTCAAAGCAAGCAGGTGAATTGTACAAATTATGAATCATGATGCAATGCATGTTATTTATTTCAATAATACACTGCAATTGAATCAAATGCAAAGTAGAAATGTTCTACAGTTTCAGTTTAAAAATCATGGTTATTGATAACTAAAATAATTTTTTTTTTGTATTATTTAAATCTTAATATGTGATCACTCTAATAATTATAATATTAGTATCACAGTTTTGCATTGTGCTATGGCAGCCAGGTATATTCTACAAATAAAACCCTGTCTGATATTAATGGATTATGATGAGTCACATTTCCAACCATTTTAATAGATCATCATTACTGTCTGTCTTGATGACCCCAGTGACTTCCTGTCTTAGAGTAATACTGTAAAATCTGTATTAGAAGCCGCGGCTTCTATTAAAATGGTACAATGCAACAGAGGGGATGCGGCTTCTATTAGAGCATCTACACATATGAGAAATGATGAATTTTTAGTTCTCAATTATTCAAATAGTATGGATGCGACTTCTATTAGGGATGCGGCTTCTAATACAGATTTTACGGTACTCTATGATAGTGGTTATTCTTACCTGAAGACCTTGCCCTTCCATTGACATAGAATCAGTTCTCTGAACTGTAGTCTTTTTGACACCACCTTCTGAACTTTCCTGTACTTCTCTCGGTGTGAGAGTACTTCGTCTTTCCTATATTCCGATAAAAGTAAATATAAACATGCATACATATATCTTTTCACTTTTAGTTTTTTATTTATATTTCCTGATTGACATGATACATTGCAATACGATGAGATATTAGATAAGTCAAATACTATAATTTTAAATTTAGCTTGGTTACTAAGGTTACTAAATGGAATGTCACCCGTTTGTACACCGTCGCACTGTTACTGCTTGCATGTGTGTGTGTGTGCACGCAAATGGTAAACAAGTGCAATGGCTTACATGCTGAACTCTACAGCCTAAGTTGACCAATGACCTTTATATGCAGAACTCAACAGCATAGTTAACCTTTGACCTTTTTATGCAGAACTCTACAGCCTAATTTACCTTTGACCTTTACATGCAGAACTCTGCAGCCTAGTTAACCTCTGACCTTTTTATGATGAACAGAATTTTCTAGCCAAAAAGTTCAATATATTTTTACTTCAGAGCAGTTAAACAAGTTTTGAAATGAGAAATTCGTAAATTATGACACAAAAAATGATTTTGTCATAAAATGTGACAAAAATTGAAAGATCACCACCAGTTTCCTCTTTTCTTCATAAAATAGTCCTGTTTATAGTCTGCACTTTCCTTTAAAAGAT